ATGAGTTCAAATAAAAATACATTGTTTTTTATAAAATGTTCTATATCAAAAATACTATTAAATAAAAATTTAAATAACCATTTATTTCAAATTAATTTAGCAATTAAATAATGTACTACTTTTTTTTTAATTATTAATTATTAATGGATGGTTATACTATAATTCATTTGTTTTTATTAATATAATATTCTCTCTCCGTTCCACATGTTTATATTGCCATTTTTTTTTTCTGTTCGTCCTATATTTCGTGTCATTTTCTTTTTTGAAAATTAATTATAGACTTTAAATTAATTTTTTTAATTTAAATTAAACTAAAATTATCTTAATTTTAATTTATAATTATTTATATTATAAAATAATTATTTTCACTAACATATACTTAATTATTCAATAGTTATATTATTTTAAATTTTCGCATATACAGTAACCCGACATACGGAGGGAGTATTACAAAATGACTTTTCTAATATCTATTTTTATATAAATATAAATTTCCTTTAATAAGTACATATATATTTAATTATAGTTAAATATGGATAAAAATTACTTCATAATTTATTAGACATTACGCTAATATAAAATAATATTATTTAATAAATGCATATTTTAATAACATACACTAAGTATGTAATATTATATTTTATTTTTAAATATTTTGAATATAAAGTAAACAATTAAATATTATAATTAAAAAGATCAATATATATTGAATATTATACTTATTTGGTTTTGATTAAAATTAATTTTTTTATATATATTTGATTTAAATATTATTTTAATTTGATGTTTTATTATATAAAAAAATATATTTTATTATAATCATACCGGGTGAAAAATATTAAATTTTTATTTGAAATAAAAAGTTCTTGCAAATTAACTTGGCTTAGGATATGGTTTTTTTTTTTTTAAATAAAAGTTTTGTTGAATCCAAATTAATGATTTTATATAAAAATATATTTCAATAATAAATATCATATTTAAAAAAAATACAAAAATACATATATAAAGAATTGAATCCAAATAATATAAATATTTTTATCATTATATTCTTTAATAAAATAATAAAGAATTAATTAAAATTGCAATTTATACCAGTGTAATAAGCGATAGAACTAGCAGTAAAATTTTGAAGAGGCAAAATATCGAGCGCTTTTCAATTTCTCTATGTATGATCATGTTAAAAGAAAAAAAATTGGAAAATATTAAATGTTTTAGAAAAATTTTCTACAAATTATATATAAATTTAATATATTTTTACTATAAAAAATAAATTTAAAAGCTAAAAAATAAATCAACAAATAAACAAAATTTTTATTATTTTTTACATTATAAAAATAAATAAATAAAATAGGACAAACTAATAAAAAATACATAATTTAATTATTTTTTTATACTAAAAAATACTCCATCCGTCCTATATTTATTTAAGTATCTATTCATTTATTTTTCATTTCAGAAATATTAGTATCATATTGAGATGTAGAAATAAAAGTAAAAAGACTAAATTAACTCTATTAGTGTTGTATGATATAAATGTAATGTCATTTGTGTAATATATTATAAATTGAAAGGGTATTTGTAATGTTAGGTAAATAGTACAATTACTGGAAAAAAAATTGATAAATTATTAAGGGACGGAGCAAAATAGAAAAATTAATAGATTGTTAAGGACGAAGGGGTATATATATTTTGGGGGCTGGGCAAGTGCCCCAATTTAGATCCATCCATGGATGTATCGCTAATTTAATTATATTTCAAAGTATTCCTAAATACTTCTTCCATCTCGTATCTATTTATCTATTTGATGTTTGCATAGAGTTTTAGAAATATTAGTATTATATTGAGATGTCGTAGAAATAAAGGTAAAAATACTAAACTAACTTTATTAGTATTGTATTATGTAAAATGAAAAAATAGATTGTTAAAGAATGAAAAGAGTATAAAATTGTACATTTTTTTCATTATATTACATACATGAAAATATTACTTTCTTCCGTCTATCAAAATTAATTACAGTTAATGTTTCAGTATCTTCTTATTATTTCTTCCCTCACCCCCGGTTATTTTTTTTATTTTAAAAAAATAGAGACAAGAAACCTAAATTGAAATAAATAATTGTTCTGACGGAACTTTCTCTTCTACCGTAAATTAGCCGTAGATAAACACCTAAGCCATTGGTCTTTTCTATTACTTATTATTTTGATTACCAAATCAAATTACTGCAATATTTTAATGTTTATGTGCAAAAAGTAAATAGATATACTGATACCGAACAAATATAAATTGAGCCTTAGTCTACTCAATATTAAAAAATAAAAATCAAAAGAAAAGAAAATTCCACTACCAAAATCTTACCATTCCCGTTTAATAATTTTATCCCAACATTTTTCTGCCCATAAACTCCGATCAAATCATAGGAATTAGAAAAAAAAAAATAAAAATGGTTCTTTCCTATAAACATACTAATTATTATTGTCACTATTAATGAGGAAGATAAAAGGCTTTGTAATGTTTATGAAGTTTTAGAATTTTAAAATAATAACAAAAATTAGTATATATCATAATACTCTCTCCGTCCCTTAACAATCTTTTCATTTTCTATTTATTTTGGTCCGTTTCATAATAAAATATTTATTTCTTTTGTCAACAATTATACTATCTACCTAACATAACAAATACCCTTCCAATTTACAATATATTACACAAATTTGATTATCTTTATATCATACCATACTAATAGGGTTAATTTAGTCTTTTTATCTTTATTTATACTTTATCCTAATATAATATTAATATTTCTAGAATTCGGTGTAAAAAGCAAATGAATATATAGATATGGGACATAGGGAGTATTTTATATAAAATCATTTGATATGAAAATAGACAAAGCCAAAACCTGCAAGGCCTAGTGAAGTATCCACCATGAATTGATGGCAGATAGAAAAAGGATTTGGGCCGGCCTGGACCCGGTTAAAACGGCCCGTTTAGAGCCCAACATAAATAAGGTCTATTATATTTATTTATTTTTAAGATATATATAATTTGTTTGATATTTATAGAATGTTAAGATACTGTTAAGTGGCATGGAAATAAATTTGAAATCAAGACATCATAGATTTAAATCCTATATTACACTTTTAGAAAAAAAATATTTTATTTAGGACCTTTTATTTTATTTCATTCCGGCTCTTCGAAGGTCAGGATTGAAATTCGCAGTTAAAAGTTCGATCTCTGTCGAATGCGTATGTTAGTATACTGAATTTTTTAGATCGCGCTTGTTCACTTCATAATGGTTGAGTTCCAATCCAAACATTCCGAAGTTTGGTATGTATTTGTTTGGAGGATTGAATTTTGGTTTGAGATTGAAATAATAAATTTTTTTAAATTTGAATAATTATATTTTGAATGTAAATTAATATTTAGTATATTATTAAAAAATAAATAAATATTTGATTTGATATCTTTTAATATAAATTTTTTAATGAATAATAAAAATTTGATAAAGTTGTATAAACGAACACTTTTACGTGTACGGTCCCGTAAATGTTCTACAAAAAATTGCCAAAAATGTCTTCCTATGACAGTGTTTGTTTGTAGGATTGTTCTATCAAAAATGGTTAAAAGAATATCGTAAATAAATTATGAGAAGTAAAAGGAAAAGGTCAGGAGAAGAAAGATGGGTGATAGGGTTGGGGATTAAGGTGTATTTAAACGGTTTTTTTAGTTTTAAATACTTTTTGAATTAAGTATGAAAAATTATACTTCGTCCACACACAAAGTAAACATTTACTTTTGGCGCGGTGTTTAAGAAATAATAGTATTTTAAGTATATTAAATAGTTAAAAGTAGTAAAATGATATTTTTGTCATTCTTTTTAGTGTAAAAGTAATGATGTAATGTAAAGTAAGATTATTTATGGAAAAAAGTGAGGTATTTAATGAAATTTACTCCGTAATTGGACGTCCCAAAATAGAAATATGTATATTTTCTAATTAGACGGAGGGAGTATTAATTATATAAAAAAATAATATTACCTTCGTCCGTTTCTAAAGGTTCTATTTAGTTTTTGCGTGTTGATATTTGAATATTAATTATTATATAAAACGTAGTACAAATAAAGAAAAAATTGCAAAAATACTTCGACTCGTATCTTATAATACTAATAGAAAGACATTTGCACAAATAATTATAAAAAATAAAGATATTTTTAATGTTAAGTACAATGACGCAAAAGGTAAATGTGACCCTTAGAGACGAACGAGAATATTTTGTATAGTTTGAATTTTAAAATTTTATTACAAATATTCTAATATATATTTTTTAGTTTTCTATAGTCTCACAAAAAACAATATTAAACTTAAAATATTATTCCTTTCGTTATAAATATGGTGCTGAATTTGGTTTCGATTCAAAAATTTAGATGTATGTATTAAATAAAATAATTTAAAAGTTTTGTGAATTTGATGGTAGAGAAAAATATATTTTTATTTTTTATTTGGTTAATGTTACGAGATAAAATGTAATTTAGAGATTAAATATAATTAACGAAAAAAAGAGAAAATATTGCAAGATTTTTTAGACGGAAAAAATAATTATCTATATCTTAAATAAAAAATACAAAATTTTGGTTTGTTTTATTAATTTCAAACTTCAAATTTTTATTATTTGAACTGAGTGTTTTAAAAAAATATATATATTTTTTTCTCATATAACATCTTATTTCACATTATTTTAATATCAAATTCAAACAAATTTTTTTTTTATTTTTTTATTGACGTGGGTAAACCTCGATCGAAGCTAATACTCACAAATTAAATCCGATCTTTTTTTTTAATAACATTAAAATCCCCAGTCATGTCACACTAATCAAACCATACGTGACACCTGCAGATGTTTGAAATTTGAACTCATGACCTCGTTATCACAAATTCACTCTGGTCACCTTCATTTCATCCCTTTAGCCATGAAAAATGTTTGTCTAAATGTAATAAGATGACAGGGACAAAAAGCACAAACATTGGACCTTAGAATAAGGTTTCATTACAAATCATCCACTCCCCAAAACGGCTACAAACTTAAGGATGTTCTTGATCCATCCATGGCTGCTGCCGCATTCCTACAATGACAAAGACTCGCAGACACCATCCATCATAGTAATACTATTACAACCTGCTGCTGTTATTCAGCCTTAAAACTTGTTCTTATACCAGTACACTCCCTTCCCGGGCTCGTCGGCCTCCACGTACAGACACTCCTTCGCCTCCCGCCACATCGCCTTGTAAAACGGCATCCCGTCGAACTGATAGTACTCCCCTAGTATCGGCTTGATCGCTCTCGTCGCCTCCATCGCATTGTAATGAGGCATCGTCGAGAATAAATGGTGCGCGACGTGAGTGTCGGTAATGTTATGGAACACCTTGTTGAGGATTCCGTAATCCCGATCGACCGTCGCCAGCGCACCCCGCAGCCAATCCCACTCCGACGAGTCGTAGTGCGGCAGCGCCGGGTGGGTGTGCTGAAGGTACGTAATTAACACGAGAAACCCGTTCACGATCATCAACGGTACGCCGTAAATGCATACAACCCAGATCACGCCATTCGCCGCCGCCGCAGCGTAGAGTGCGCACAAAGCGGCGATGACGCCGACGTCGGAGATGAGGATCTGGAGGCGTTCGCGGTCGTTGTAGATCGGGCCATACGGGTCGTAGTGGCAGGCGAAGCGGTCGTAAGGCCGGCCGGAGACGTTGAAGGCTAAATACAACGGCCAGCCAAGCGTGAGCGTGACAACGAGCGTCGCGACCCGGCCCGGCGGGTTGTTGAGGTATTTCGAGAACCACGCGATTTCAGACTTCGGCTTCGGGACGAACACCTCGTCGCGGTCGAGGGAACCCGTGTTGGAGTGGTGGCGGCGGTGGCTGTACTTCCACGAGAAGTACGGGACGAGGAGGAGCGAGTGGAGGACGAGGCCGACGGTGTCGTCGACCCACTGGTAATCGCTGAAGGCGTGGTGGCCGCACTCGTGGGCGATGACCCAGACGCCGGTGGCAACGCAGCCTTGGAGGGTCCAGTAGAGGGGCCAGGCGGCGCAGCGGAGCGGCGGCGGGAGGAGGGGGAAGTACGCGGCGGCGATGTAGTAGAGAAGCGAGACGACGGCGAGGTCGAAAACGACGTAGGAGAAGGAGCGGGCGAGGGAGCGGCGGAAGCAGTGGGGAGGAATGGCTTTCTTGAGGTCGCCGAGGGAGAACGGCGGCTTCGCGGAGGGGACGCGGCTGACGCTCTTCTCACGGTGGTCGATGGCGGCGGCGGCCGGAGCCGACATACGTCCACCGGCTCCCATTGTGTCTCTCTGTTAAGACCTGATCACAAACAAAAAATGCAGGCTATGAATGAATGATCCGATGCTGATATTAACTTTTAAAAGTTAAACTAATACGAATTGAAGCATATTCGAATAGTATATACATTGTAGGCACAATATATACGAGTATATTTCTTTTGAAGGGTTTGGGTATGTTTCATTAAAAAATTTAATTTGAATTTGATATTAAAAAAAATTATACTAGCTCTGTCATCCCATCTTAGGGTTTCATTTTTCATTTTCGTCATGTACCAAAACAAAAATACCATTCTAATTTAGTAAAAGTTAACTATACTATATTATATAAATGTCATTATCTTTATATATTATACAATATTAATAAAAGTATTTTCGTCTTTTCAATTAAAACCCAATATAATAATAATATTAAAAAAATACTAATAAAAATATTTTTATTTTTTTAACTAAAACCCAATATAATATTAACAAAACTCAATATAATACTAATATTAAAAAATTTAAGCCTAAACAATATATTTTTTTGCGCAAAAGTACATATGTATGTATATATATATATATAACGGAATCTGGGAAACGACAAGAATATTCGTGTAAGAACACGCTTGATTTCCTTCCCGTTTATGAAAGGCGGGCGTGAATACTTGGGTCTAGGGACTAGGGACTAGGGAGGTCCTATGAGTGGGATGTCAACTACACTTGATTGTGTGGGGTCCACACAGAATCAACGGTGTAGTTTGCATCTGGATCTCCGGTCCAGGACTTCCCAGGCCTTCCGTCTCAGGTTGCGAAAAGAAAATAAATAAGCTACGCCAGCCGAGCACAGCTTGGCGACATAAATGACGCGTTAAATAACCTAAATAATTCCACCTTCGGAAGTTGATTTCGATTTTGACTATCGGAATCCGATGCTTTTAAATGATATTTGGAACTGACGAAATTCAGATATTTTATAGCAATCCAAGATTTTTCTAATGTAAAAATCTGATTAGTTGTTACCATTAAAGTCAGAAAAGGATGCGTGAAAATGCAGAAGAGAGACCAAAACTCAATACTGAGACAAGATCTGTTCTTACAACATTAAAAAATCACCAGATTTGGCTGTGAAATAATAATCTCAAGGAAGATCTGAACCACTTGCCGTCATTTAAACATTAAGAAATCGCAGCCAAGTAACGAAGAAATTAGCAATAAAATTAAAAACTGAAATCGGAAGGAGACAGACATTTGTGTAGAATATAAATAAGGTTTCGACATTGCACATGCCGACAAGTATACGAGGACAAACAGATATACATTTTATATGCGTTTCAGACACTCAGATTGCGGAAGATCCAAAAGAACTGCGCCGAAAGCACAAAAGGACATTACTACCGGCGAAAACACCAATGCACTCTACAGATCCGTAGATTTGGACAGAAATACAGTGAAAGAATCGATCTAAATAAAATTACAAATTAAATAAAAATAAAATAAAATTGAGATAGAGATGGAAACAGAGAGGCTGCATTGTAAGAAGGAATGCATTAATCCTTATTACAGAAAGCACAAAGAAGAAGAAAAGATGTAAGAATACCTTAGAAGGCTGCGAGGAGCTTAACGAAAGCCCTTCTAGCTTTCCTCTTCTTCTTTCTACCTCTTCTTTCCGAAAGCTCTCTGCGGTTTCGTTGTTTTTTTCTTTCAACTTTTTTTATGGTCTGGTTTTGTGGCTTACAGCGCTATAAATAGCGGACGGCCCATCAACTTGCTAAAGGGGCCTCGCACGTGTCGCTCTATGATTGGGCCAGGTGGCGCGCCATATCTCTATTTCCTTACAAGGCCGTGTTTGGGGTGACGAAAATTATGGGATTTGGGTTTTTGTAAGAATTAGGGTTTGTCGAATGTCGATTGTTAATTGAATAATGCCCAATTATTAATTGAATATTTGCCATAAAATTTTCCCGACCAATTAATTTAGATTTATACATATACGTTTTTAATTTCTTTGATTGATTGAATTAAGAATTTAAGAGCCCATTGTTGCTTTAGAGTGTAAATCGTGGGGGTTTTGAATTTGCCTGATTTGGTATTTTTTGCAACCAAACACGGCCTTAGTATACACTCAACGGCTGTGATGGGCCGAATATGGAGCATGTGAAATTACTAAAATGGGTCTGCATGTGGAACGAGATGACGGACTACTTGTGCGTGAATGAGGCACGTGGCGAATCAGACACCACACGTGACACAGTACCCTTTACGGTGACCTAGTTTTTCGTGAATAAAAATTTATTTCTTTCTAGGTTTTGTCGCCCCCAATATATTTAATCGGTATTTTTTAAACGGTCCAAGATATTTTTGAATAGGGTCAGTGGACACGGTTCGTTTATTTGTAAATATGCAGTATTTGATAATCGAATCAAATCGAACTAAGTACTTGAAATTGTAAATCATAATCGAATTTTTGATTAATCGAAATATATGTAATATTTGTAAATAATTCGAATCGAATCAAAATTTAAAAAAAATAATTAAAATTCTAATTAAATAAAAAAATATTTGTAAATATTCGAACCGAATATAATTGTTAATATAAATTTTAAAATATAATAATATAAATATATAAATGTATTTGGTTTGGTTAATCGAACCAAAAAGAAAAATGAAAAAATCGAAATCGAACCGAATCGAAAAAAGATACTCGTCTTTCGGTTCTATAACAAAGTATTAATTTCTTTTTTTAGTAATTGTACTATCTACCTAATATTACAAATACCCTTACAACTTACAATATATTACATAAATATCATTACATTTATATCACACAATACTAGTAAGGTTATTTTAGTCATTTATACTTTATTCCTACTATATCATAATATAATACTAATATTTTTAAAACTTCGTGCAAAAAGCAAACAGATACATAGTTATGAGACGAAGGGAGTATGAAAAGTCAAAATCGAACCGAACCGAACTAATATCAAATATGTAGTATTTGTATTCGAACTGAATTTGCTCGGTTAACCGAAAATTCAGTTCGACTCAACGGTTCGACATTGGGTTCGATTTTTTTGCCAAGCCGTATTTTAAACAGGGGAATCAATTGTTTAAAGTTTTTTTTTTAAAAAAAAAGGAAAAAAAAAAAAGAAATGAACAGTATATATTTTACATATTTTTTAATAAAATTATATTAATTCTTTATAAAATATTAATAAAAAATATTATTTAACAAAAAAATCAAATTAATATTCTATTTCAAATCGGGACGAAACAAACCTTAATTTTTAGAATCATAGAAATTAAGGGTGTGTTTCTTTATGTTAGGTTTGGGAAGATTGAGTTTGAGATTGGTTTGAATTTAAATTTTTTAGATAGAGATTTGATAGGTAATAATTGGACTGATGAGATTACTTATATTATTAAAAAAATTTATATTAAATATAAAAAATGTAATAAATATGAAGTGAGATGTTTTTCTTTTATTAATTTTCTTTTCTTCGTTAACAAAAAAAAGGAAAAAAAAAAAAAAAAAAAATTAATCATGCCAGTAGCCTACATTTACGTGCGGAAGAACAAGTGGAAGAAATATTTCTTCAATGTAAATTACTTTTGATATATAATAAAAAAGATGTAACCGACGTGAAAGAGTATGTCGAATACCAAAAGTTAACAAGCGTCAATGACAAAAATATGTCATGTGCGTAGGCTGTCCGGTGGCGTGCAGTACATTACAAATCGTCCGAAAATTACGTAAAACCGAAACAGAAATAAGCAGATAAGTATGCACGGCCATGCCCGTGTGTTGACAATTGACTGCGACCCATAACCATAGAACTAGCAGAATATAGGTAAATGTGCACAACCATGCACGTATGGTATAAATAGACTGCTTGTCGTATACATGAAAAGACAAGAGGTATGGAAAAACTCCCTATTGTCAAACTCTACACACTAGCCTACAGTTTTATTGCCTAGGATGTAATTTGTGTATATTCACAAGCCTACGGTTATACTACAGTTGATTTCTCAAACTTAACGAGAAAAGTAACACACCCTAAGTTGGTTGATGTATTGAATGCAAAATTTCTCGAAATAAAATTAAATTGTAAAATTTTCTTTTCTACAAAAGCATTAATATTATTGAGTGGTGGTTGGCAAATTTGGTTCTCTCGAAGTGAGAGTATCACCGAAGTAATAAATAAATTGGTTGGCCTGTGGGCATTTAATGATTTGTATTTGTCTCTGTTGTAATTTGATAATATTTAAAGCTATGTGTACTACCTATATTTTAATATTTTTTTGATATTTGCAATAAATTATTTTTCTTTAATGTTATATTTGATGTTTATAAATGTATACATATATATTATTATATCCTATAAATACGAGATTGTACGGATTTGTCACTTGAAAAGTCTATTTTGCCCTTCATTTCGAAAATGACAATTTACCCCTTAACCTACTTTTGTACCGGCTTGAAAAAACATTTTGAAACCGTCATCAGCAACCGCTAGACCAAAAGACTCCTTGGCCGCACCCACCAACTGACCTCTCTGTCTACCTGCGGACCAACTGACTTGCCTATCTGACCGCAGACCAGCCAACCTACTTTATCCTACCGCAGACCATCAGACCTGTCTGTCCGACTGCTAACCATCCGACCGATGACCTATCGACTAGACCAATTGATCGAGGACCTTCCGACCTGCCTAGCTAATTGCTAACCCACCGACCTTATTATCCGACCAGAGACCAACCGACCCGACAAACCGATCGAGGACCTTCTAAACCCTAAACCCTAAACCAATTCTAGAACTCAAATAGCCCAACCGACCAATGAGAGACGAATCGGTAGACAAAGATATATATTATATCTTATAAATACAAGAATTGTACTTCTGCCACTTTAAATTATTATTTTACCCTTTCTCTTATTTACATCTTTGTCCTTCTCTTCACCCTTAGGTGAAATTGGTCTATGCATTTTTGGCTTTTTTTTTTTTTTTTTTTAGGTGAAATTGGTCTTATGTATTTTTGCCTTTTTTTTACTTACATGGTCAGTAACTAATTAATTTAAACCATAATATTTTTTTATTATATGTAGTTGGTTTACATGGAATATATTATGACTTTATTGATGTTGTAGATGTTTCATTACTTACATTTGTGTTTGTTTGGGGTTTGAATTTTGAGTTGGAATTTGAATAGTAAAAATTTTAAATTTTAATAGTTGAATGATGTGATATAAATAGGTGTTGATTTGATATTTTAAATATAAAATTGATTTTTAGTATAATATAAAAAATAAAAAATAGGTGTTTAATTTGATATTTTTTTGGGGGAATAGGATGAACAGTGGATTTAAAATCCAATCCCCAAACAAATGCACCTTAAAGAAGATTGGTAATAATCATATAACATATCTTCTTTTTGTGGAATTTACTAAAAAGATCCTTTCGTTGTCATCTGCATATTTTAAATTTTTTGGAATAGAAGATGTCTGTCTTCTTATTTTACTTAGGGTGCGTTTGGCAATTAGTAGATAGTTTTTACCTGTTAGCTTATTCAATTAGCTGTTAGTAGTTAGCTGATTCAATTAGTTGGTTTGACTATCTGATTCAATTAGCGGTTTGTATTAAAGTGTTTGGTAAAATAATTGTTTGACATTAGCTGTTTATATATAAAATGATTATTAAGGACATTGATATGCTATTTTTTAAAATATTTAATTTTGTTTATTTTGGTTTGAAATTTATGAGAATTTTTGTTATTAATTATTAAAAATTATAAAAATATTATAAAATATTTATTTTTATTTTTATTATCTAGATTTGAGAAAATTATTTTTACTAAAAAATAATAATTTTTTATTGAAATTATGTAAAATATAAAATAATAAATCTTTTGTATATATATCTTTATTATGTTAAATTATTGTTTTAATATATAAAAATAAATTATTAACCTTTATTTTTTTTATTTGATTTAGTTTTAAAAATTTATATATTTTACAAATAAAATAATTTATGTGTAATAATTAATAATAGTAATTATTTTAAATTTACAAAAATAAAAATATAATTTAATATTAAATATATTAAAAATAATTAATAAATACAACTATACAAATATATTTATATGTATAAAAAAATAACTAAGTTTTAAAGGTAAATAAGGAATAATCAAAATTAAAATGAAAAACTCTTTCAAAACGCTGGGTAAATGAGCTTTTAAAAAAATTAGCTTTTTGGATCCAAAAAACTCTTTCAAAAAACTAATTTAGTTTTTTGACTGATCAAACAGCTAAAAGCTGTTAATAAGCTAAAAACTATCCTCTTAAGCTGAAATCATTTTATGAAAATAGGCGTCTATGATTTAGGCTTAGCTTTTTTACTTTCAATCTCACTTCCAGCCACTAGCATTCCTGATCTCTCAAAGTACAGTAAGTGACCTAAAATTTGCATCACATTTTGAGTTAAATGTTAAGGTTGTTTTACTTTGATTTTGTTGCAATCATATCGAACTTGTTTACTTGTTTTACATGTGTATGTATATTTTTTATACGAAATTATTTTTATTGTACACACCGCCGCGGCATCGCGTGCGCCGGGTTCTAGTATATATATAAATCTTAAATGTTATTTGGTTCTGTTGTATATATGTTTGTCTCCTTCAATAGTAATAATAATAATAATAATTTAATTTATTTTTATTTATTCAAAATTTTATTGAATTATTACTTAGATTTGTTTGCGTATAATTCATTATTTATATAAAATAATTTTCAATAAAAATATATTATTCTCTCCATCCGAAAAATTTAGCCAATTTCTTTTGTATTTTTACAAAGAAGTGGGATTAAATTTTCTGGACGGAGGGAGTATTTTATTATATAATATATTAATTAAAATAAGTTTTAAATAAAAAATCACATTAACATGTTTTTAAATAAATTTCTAATCATAATCAAATAACATGTAAAATTGAATGTGTTTGTTTTGTTAGAATGTTGAAAAAAAAATTATGTAAAGTATAAAAAATCGTATATAAGTATAAATAATATATAAATAATGAGTATATGCATTGTATTAATTTGGTAAGAAAACGTAAAAGAGAAAAAAAAATATAAAATGAACAAAATACCGAACCAAAAATTGAATATTACCAATTATAGGAATGATATTCGTAATTTATAGTATTATATATAAGAGTATAATGGCTCCCATACAAATACATATTTTTTCTTATTTTTTTTAATAAAATAGTTGTATTAAATGCTGTAATTGATAAATTACTATTAACATTATATAATTATAATTGGTATAATTATTAAATATATTTATTAAATTTTATAATAGTTATAATTATTATAATATTATTTCTAATAAATAAATAAATTTAAAATATTAGAAAAACTAACCATGTTCGTTCTATTCAAAAATATCTATTTAATGATATAATTTAGATACTTTATATATAAATATCAAAATATTTTTATTTTTACATAAATTCTAAAATATCATTCCTTTGTTTATATCCGGTAAGAGCAAAAATATTAAATTATCTTGTCCTATGAGGAATGGTGTGGTGACATGGAAAGTAAATTTGCTATTGAGGTCACAGAGTTAAACCCAAGTCCTTCAAGTTCATCTGCCATACATAATTGACTTTATAGCAGGTGCCAATTTCTACTATATAATATATATATTAAATTAAACATTTTAATTAATTAATAAAATATTACTTCCTCCTCCGTCTATGTAGAAAGTAAACATTTACTTTTGACGCGGTGAGTAGTTAAAAATAGTATAATAATATTTTTGCCCTTAATTTTTAGTGTAAAAGTAATGATATGATGTAAAGTAAGAGTATTTGTGAAAAAAAATAAGGTATTTAATGAAATGTTTACTTTATAATTAAAAGTTTCAAAATAATAATATGTATATTTTCTAATTAGACAGATGAATTATTAGTTTTTAATTTATTAAAAAAAATTAATTCATTTGACATCAGAAGGGTATATAAGAGTTTAAATGGGTCCCACATAAACATATTTTTTTCCTATTTCTTAAATATTTTAATAAAAATAAAATAGGCATAGTTGGGTCTAAAATAAAGTAAATGTGATAGTATTCATTTTGACTACTACTTAATAATTCAAAATTTTATATTTGAGTTTATTTGAATGCCTTTAAAATTATTATATATGAATGGTATGAACTGTTTGTGTAAAAATTATACTTCTCATGTTCCATAAGAAATATTAATTTCATATTTTTTTTTAAAAAAATTAGATATTATTTTTTAATTTAATAATTATATTATTTATATAATATAATTAAACTATTATTTATGTCAATATCAATTTATAATTATTTTGGAATGCTGAATTGATATATTGACTAATAGATATGAGAATGATATACACATGTTATAATTTGTATTCTGATACGATAAGAAATATTTATTGACATGCTAAAGTAATATTTTTGAAATGCTGAATTGATACCTTAATTGATGAGTAAAAATTATTTTTGGTCCTATTTAATATCAAAATTATCAATTTTGATTTCATTAAAAAAAAATTCTCAATTTTAGTCCAACTCCAATGAAAATTTATCAATTTTAGTCCCAAAATGGTTGACTGGGACTGAACACAGCCGTATTGGATGACTCAGAAAGTGACTGGGCGTTCCAGACAGCCAACACGGCCGTGTTGGTCTCAACACGGCCGTGTTTATTACCCTGCACCTTTGAACACCATGTTCCTGCCCATGATCTCAACACAACCATGTTCTAGGCTATGTTCCTGCCCATGTTCTCAACACAGCCATGTTCTAGGCTATGTTTCTGCCTATGTTTTCAACATAGCCATATTTTAGGCCATATTCACGACCATGTTTTCAATATAATCATACTGTAGGTCATAATTATTATTTTTTTTCACTTTTTGGTTAAAATTATTTGATATATATATTTATAATTTAACAAAAATATTTTTTACAATTGTTTTATAATATAAAAAATAATTAATTTTTAATTTTAAAAATATATAAAAATAATAATATTTTAAAATAATGCTCCCTCCGTCTCAAGTTGGATATTTGGGTTACTGTAGACACGAGAATTTAGGATAAGTATAATTAATAGATAATTAAGAATGTATTAGTAAAAATAATTATCATATAATATAAATAATTATAAATTAAGATTAAAATAACTCATTAATTTAATTAAAATTAAAATTAAATTAAAAAATAGTGTGTAATTATTTTTCAAAAAAGAAAAGTGACATGGGATGTAAGATGGATATAAACGACAATGTGGATATGGTAAGTGGGACGGAGGGAGTATTATTAAAAAATATACATTAATATATTATTATTTTTATATATTTTAAAAATATTAAAAATTGATTATTTTTTATATTATAAAATAATTGTAAAAAATATTTTTGTTAAATTATAAATATATATATCAAATAATTTTAACCAAAAAGTGAAAATAATAATAAATATGACCTACAACATGACTATATTGAAAACATAGTCGTGAACATGGCCTAGAACATGGCTGTGTTGAGAACATGGGCAGTAACATGGTCTAGAACATGGCTGTGTTGAGAACATGGGCAGTAACATGGTCTAGAACATGGCTGTGTTGAGAACATGGACATGAACATGGTCTAGAATATGGTTGTGTTGAGAACATGGGCATGAACATGGCTGTGTTCAAAACACGGACAGGAACACAGCTGTGTTCAGAAGTGCAGGGTAATCAACACGGCCGTGTTACGACCAACACGGCTGTGTTGGCTGCCTGGGACGCCCAGTCATCTTCTGAGTCATCCAACATGGCCGTGTTCAGTCCCAGTCAACCATTTCGGACTAAAATTGATAAATTTTCATTTGAGTGAGATTAAAATTGATAATTTTTCTTGAATGAGACCAAAATTAATAATTTTGATATTGAATGGGACAAAAAATAATTTTCACTCCTTAATTGATACATAGAAGGATGATAAAATGGTACATGAGCGAGATTTCCAAGTGTCCGAAAATTCTTTGCAATTTAAAGCAGGACTATAACTTGAAATTTAAAGATGATGAGCAGCACAAAGCTGAAGGTGATTTTAAACAATGAGTTTATATATTTAATGCTGTTCTTTTGTATATCCATTACTTTTTTTTTTTCCGTAAATTTGCAATGCATATAAATTTAGTCCTGATTATTGTCATAGAATTTTGCTGAGTACCATTTGTCCGTGGGAAATGAAGATGTACAAGAAGAACAAAATCCAAAGGTAAAACTAATTTTACTTGCATATATGATTAGATTTTTTTTTTTTTTTTTTGTTCTTTTTTAAAAAAATAACTTGATTAACACTAGGGTGTGTTTGTTTTGGGGCTTGGATTTTGAGTTGAGATTTGAATAGTAAAAATTTTGAATTTGAATAGTTGCATGATGTGATATAAATAAGTGTTGATATGATGTTTTGAATGTAAAATTGATTTTTAGGATAATATAAAAAATAAAAAATAAGTGTTTAATTTGATATTTATAAGGAAAAAAATAGAATGAACAGTAGATTTAAAATCCAATCCTCCGTAACACACCCACCTATAAATATAACTTATACAGTTGATTATGATTCCGTACGAATCGGAATCCGTCACTCTCTCTCTCTAGATTTTTACATTTCTCATTGTGAGCTTCTTCCTTGTTAGTTACTGAGTTTCCTTTCTTGGCTTAGTTTCTCATTTTCTGAATAATATTTCTAAGTTGTAGTTTTTTACTTAAAAAGGGGATTATGGCATCTGGAATGCAAAGAAAGAGTGGCAGAGACGACGACGACGACGATGATGATAGCAGACCCGCTGATAATCGCAGTTCCAAGAAATCAAAGCAAGGTCTGGTTTGGTCTCTTCCCATTTTCACCTTCCAAACTATTTCTGTGCATGTTTATTTGGTCGTATAATTTGTTCTTTCTTGAAGAACACTATTAATTTAATTAATTAATTAACTTTCTGCAACATTAATATTTCAGAAATGGATCCGTCCTCTCCTTCTGCTATAGGAAGCAATATTCCATTGCAGCCATACACAAACTTCTTCCGGTTCTAATTTTTTCCTCTCTAAATGTATTGTTTAATAGTAGAATATATCATGATAATTGCATAGTAAGAAAGTATATATATATATATATATAAAATGATACAAAATGCAATCGAAACGATCATTTATAACCCGCGGCACGCTTGCATTGATCGCAGCCCTCCCGGTTTTAGCTACGGAGATAGCTCCGCCAATCAGTATTTCAAGACTCAGTTATGCAACAAATTCAGCGCACTCGGCGGGTGCAAGTACGGGGACAGATGCAAGTTTGCTCACGGTCTACATGACTTACAATTACAATACAACACTCAAGTCCCGGGACTGCCAATGTCCGGAGCCCCTACTACTGTTAAGATCCCTATCGACGCTACCTTAGCCAGCCGTGTCATCGGAGAAGGCGGGTCCCACGCCAAGGAAATTTACAACAGGACCGGGGTCAAGGTCTCGATAATAAATCATGAAACCGATCCCAAACAACGATATGTTCAGCTCAGGGGTTATAACGCGGATGAGACTAGACATATGATTTGCAAAAATATAGTTAGTCTCACAATAAAGTTAAAAACAAAGCTTTGCGAGAATTTTTTGAACGGTTCTTGCGCCTTTGGGGACAAGTGCCGTTTTGCACTCGGAGAATAAGACTTGCGACACTACAATGTATAGACATTTTTTGTGTTTCTTGAAATATCCTTATCTTCTTGTGTAAAAAGGCAAAATTTCTGAGCTTAGGCTCCGCACCCCGGCCTCAAGTCATTACAAAGAGTTCAAATAGTAAAATATTAAATAATAAAAAAAATAAAAATACTATTAGAAATACAAAGGTAAGATATTAAATGTCCTATAAAAGATGATCAAATAGTGCGAGAGTTAGAAAAAGATTATCCAAAACACACAAGAAGAGTAACTATTCTCGATTTTCAAATTTAATAAAATGTAAAACATTATAGTTTCAAACTGCAATTGTCAATCACATTCAAAATAAAAAGCATGTAAAATTATCAAGCAAAAAAATAATGACCAAATAAATAAAAAAGGAAATAGTATCAAAGTTTAAAATTGATAGGCACTTTGTTTTGATTTCTTAGAACTACCACTATTAGTGAGGCTACTATCATCATCATCGTCTTTGTCACACTTTTTCTTGCTTTCAAACACTATTCTCTTTAATGTAGAAACAACTGGAGGAATATTATTGAAAAAAAAAATTAAGAACAAGAAAATGAGAAACTATACAAGAAGGGTAAATAAGAAACTATCAAATGTTCCGGAAGAGAGCTCGTGGCCAGCAAAATGAGTCAAAATCCGGAAGCTCAATAGAATGGCACGGAACGTGTATGAGAAAACAAGTCACTAGACGAATTCTATATGACATAACACTATTTTTACTTCTCTAAATTATCAAGGGTTTGTTCTTGAAACTGTTCTAGTATCTTCTATTGGCGACCGAACAACAAAAAAAAGATATTCGAGGAATGACAATGCAGTGATACAAAAAATATGCTCATAGGTAGAAAAAGTAAAATCTAGGAGAGAGACAGAGAGGGCCCAATGAACGGATTGGAACATTTCTATCATATTGTAACACCATGAACGGAATGGAACATTTCGGATGAGTTATGCCGGAAAAGGAAGACTCGTAGAATTCTAGGCAAAACTAAATTATGCATTGTACGGAATGCGATGCTCAGTCTAAAATCTTACCTGATTTACCCAATCCCACACACAAAATGTATAGATGTATTTCGTACAGACCGGGTAATATTTACCCAATTTTAGACCGATAATCTCGTTACATTGTTCTAATTTGTCAATATTGAGTAGACTCTTGAGCACCGACTCCTCTATACATGGTTCTTGCGCAAGTCTTTTTCTCCGTGCGCAAACCAGCACTTGTCTCCTAAGAGGCAATGGCCTCTCAAAAATTTCTTGCAAAGCTTTGTTTTGATCCTGCTGGCCATGGGGACGCAGCGATTCGCCATATCATAATGGATCATATCGGCAGCCACACTAATCCCATCATACGTACCCGTGAGCTCAACGTATTGTAGTTTTGGATCCGTTTCGTGATCTATTACAGCGAGCTTGACCCCGGTCTTATAGTAAATTTGTTGGGAGTAGACGCCGTCTTTCCCAATGACTCTATCGAGCAGGGAAGCATACATGGGGATCTTAGCAGTGGAAGTGGAAGAGACTTGCAACATGGCTGCCTCTCGCGGCATTGGCATTGCTCGAGTGTCGCCGTAATGTGAACGCGAGCGGCAGGGCTGTAGCCAAGTATTTTAGCGGCAGCTACGATGCCGCCACGAACATAATGCCGAAAGCAGAATTGCTCTCAGGAAGGACACCCGGCGGGGCTGCAATCAATGCAATGCCAGCGCGATAGCTCCGAGTTATAAATAATCGTTTTGATTGCATTTTGTATCGTTTCATGTCGATTATTATTAAGGACGTGTCGAAATGCCAATTGGGCGTCAAGAAACCCAAATCAGAGGGGCAATTTAGTCTATTCCAACCCCGCCGTTGCATGAAATTCCGTCGCCATTGGAGCAACCTTTATCCATTGATTTATGAGGACACCAATCTATAGATGTCTGAAAGCAGACATGCCGGAATGTGAAATCTTCAAATATTAGAATTGATGTCATCTCCTTGGTCCACAAAGAAAGAGGTCGTTTGAAGGAAAAATTAAGGTATATATAAATGCGACACAGTATAATAATAAATTAAATCGAAAATACTCTAGCCAAGGAAAAACATATCACTATCAAAATTGTGACCATTTTTGCTACAACAATTTCATGTCGACGTGAGGAAGAAGAAGACAATGCCCAACAAATTAAGGTATCAATTGACACAAAAGATGCACGATCAAATCTCAACTCGCATGTACAACTTCGACACTCCAATATTGAGTCGACTCTTTATGAGCACGGCCTTCATCGGGCTGGGCCATGGAGCCCGGGATCGCGGAAATTTTGCCTTTTCAAAAAAAAAAAAGTAAAAGAATTCGTTACATAGTACCATGCAATTCTTAATCTCCGTGCGCAAAATTGCACTCTATTTGTTGATAAATAAATAAATTATGGGTATCCCTAATAGCTTAAGTTTTTAGGTGAGATGGTTATTTACATCATCTAATATGGTATCAGAGCCTTAGTCTCATGTTTGAGTCTCGCCGTCCTCTGTTTGTTGTTGTTCATGGGCAAGTTTAGTTTGATTGACTCCGGTTTGTAGATAAATAAATAAGTTTTTAAGTGAGACGGTCAAGAATGGAATAAACATATTAGCAGTAACAACCGAAGCCGTGATCTGAATGTATTGTTGGTTGGGATTGGTTTCGTGATCTATGATATCGAGCTTGATCCCGTGGTTAAGGTAAATTTTATCGGAGAAGGTGAGGATGTATCCGCCGACTTGCCTAGCCCGGAAAGCGTCGACGGGGACTTTAGCAGTGATTGAGGCCGGGTCTCGCGACGTGGATGCTTCCGTCGTGGCATTGGCATTGGCATTGGCATTGGTTGTGTTGTAATTTGAGCGTAGTCTTGGCATCCATAGCTCGTGTTCGCCGTGCGCAAAATGGCACGAATCCCCGAGTTGGCACTCGTCAGGTGTGCCGTATTTGTGGCATAGCTTAGTCTTGAATTTCCGAGGAGGCGTTGAACACGAGCTATGGACGCCAAGACTATGCTCAAATTACAACACAACCAATGCCAATGCCAATGCCAATGCCACGACGGAAGCATCCACGTCGCAAGACCCGGCCTCAATCACTGCTAAGTCCCCATCGACGCTTTCCGGGCTAGGCAAGTCGGCGGATACATCCTTACCTGCTCCGATAAAATTTACCTTAACCACGGGATCAAGCTCGATATCATAGATCACGAAACCAATCCCAACCAACAATACATTCAGATCACGGGTTCGGTTGAAACCGTTAATATGTTTATCCCTTTTTTCCGCGACGCTACAGCAGCGGACATTGCAGACATGATAGGCGCCAGATCTTTCTGGCTCCGTGTCGCGGCCAGCAAGTAAGCTTTGCGGCCACTATTTGAATGGTTCTTGCGGCTTCGGAGACAAGTGCAATTTTGTGCACGGAGAAGAAGAATTGCGCGGTACCAATGTATAGACGAAGTTGTACATCCGACGCCTTTTGTGTCAATTGATACCTTGTTTGGCCATGGGCCTATTTGGATTGGCTTATAAAATGCTGTTCGATTTTACATTTGAATGAATCATTATAAAAACAGTTTTTCATAAAAATATTGTTTGAATATAATAAAGTTGAGAGTGACGAGTCGGATGGTTCTCCATGAACACCTTTCCGTCGGCCTAACAATTCCTTGACGCTCACGAGAACGCTAGTACAGCCTCGCACACGGCTATCTCTAAAAAAAAAAAGCAAGAGCATCATAAGATGCACCCGGCGAAGTAGAAGACGATGATGGTAGCAGACCCACTGATAGTCGTGGTTCTAAGAAATCAAAGCAAGGTCTGTTTTGGTCTCTTCCCATTTTCAGCTTCGAAACTATTAATTCTCTGTATGTTAATTTGGTCATATAATTTGTTCTTTCTTGATAATTAAATGAGGAACACTTTTAATTCTTTCTGCTATAGGAACCGTTCCAAAGCCGCTATATATGCACAAAGTTTTCCAAGTTCTAATGTTGATCTGTCTAAAATTATCATCGAATCTTATGTTAAATGAAATAAAATATTTTTACACAAGAATATATACTAAGAATTACATAAAAAAATCTTTGGTACAATTTTTTGAAAGGTTCTTGCTCCTTAGGAGACAAGTGCTATTATGTATAGTGGCGGAGCCAAAGTTATTCTACAGAGACAGAGACAGTTGAAGGATTTTCTTAAACTAAAAAAATTAGACATGCATATTATTTTTTGCATATTATTTTTTAGCAGAATGAATGATAAATATATATATATAGACATATATTTAATAAATATGAAAATATTAACTTAGTAAGAATTGATCGAATTAGACGGACAAACAATCAATATAATAAAAAAATACCATCGATGTAGTAGTAGTGACAATGGATCGGGAGCTAAAGTACATAAGTGGCTCCTTTTCTTAAATGTCCACACCCGGGTTGAGAAAGTCGGTGGTTACAAGGAGTTCAAATAGTAAAAACTTGGATAAAAGTAAACGAAACACACAATAAGTAATACATTGATCTTTCAAACTATAATCTTCAAAAAGCATTTATAATTAATATAAAGAAAGAATTATGACCAAATAAATATAAAAATGGTTTCGAACACCTTGCTTTGATTTCTTACAACTGCGACTGTTAGTAGGTCTACTACCATCATCTTTGTCGCGATTTTTCTTGTTTCCAGACACCATTCCGATTAAATAGAAAATAAACTGTAAAGATATTCTTAAAATAGAACCAAGAACAAGAACATGACAAACTATACAAAGAAAGATAAACTACGAACTAACAAATGCCATGGATCAAGTTCTTGGCAGAAAAAATAGTCAAAACTCAAAGGTTCAATGGAAAACACTTTAGGTGTTGAGACCGACATTGGAACTTTGGAATTGGGAGAATGCCAAGGGATAGAGGAACCCCAAATCTCTTTGAATGTTGTGACTGATTAAGTCCCTTCCAACACCATTAAGTTGTTAGGAAAGTCCAGCAACTATGAAGTGATTATTTTGTTAGACTCAGGCAGCACGTTGTCGCTCAAAATATTTTTCGGAAGCTTATCGAAGCAAGTCTGTCAATATTCGGGTGGGTTATCCGACTTCCAAAAAAAAAGATCCGATGTTCGCAAAAATAATAAATCAATAATAGAGAAAAATGAGACAAAGAAAAAGGGAAAGAAAACAAGAAAAATAAAAGAGAGATGATAAGAAATTAAAGAAAGTTGGAAACAAAATAAAAGCAGGAAAGTAAACCTAAGGGAAAAAAAATAAATTGCATAAATATTACTCCCTACGTCCCAAACACAGTGTAACATTTGATGTTTCAAACACTCTGCAACATTTCTAAAGGAAATAATTAATTATATTGAATCTATATCCCCACACTTTATCACATCACATAGTTATAATAAAAATAAAAAATAAAATATACACTTCTCTTCCATTACATCACCTAATTACTCAAATTATTCTATTTAATATTTTTTTGTAGCACCTTGTTTGGGAGAGAGGGAGTAAAATTTACGTGGAAAGAGAAAAGACAGAGAATGAGCAAGGAGAGGGTCTCTTATTTTATTTTTTCCAAATTAGAGGGAAGTGAGTAGAAAATAAACTTGTATAGAAAAGAAAAATAGAGAATTTTGAGAAATAGAAAATATATACACGATGCATGAAGAAAATTGCTAGTTAAAAAAATGATTCTTCTAACGTATTAAAGGAGCTTCCAAGATGGGCTCTCGCAATGTTTTTTTATTCTAACTAATATTTTGGATAAGTATATCAGATTGTTGTATTTTATTTTATTTTTTTTAAAAAAATATATTAAATATTTTGTATTTTATTTATTGTGAAAAATATTTTTATGTTAAATTAAATTATTCATAATTTTTTTTTTTTTTTTTTATTTGGTTGTAAATACATCTTAATTTTATACAATAAAATAGAAAAATGTTTTTTTTTAATAATATTTTTTTAGGGTAAACTATTTTTTTTAGTCCCGTAACTAGACCCCTTTATCATTTTAGTCCTAATGGAGCATGTAGCAAACTAGTTCCATAAGTGAAAGTTTTTCGCTGTTTTAGTCCTTCGGCGCCGGAGACGCCCGCTTGGCTCGCCGGAGGTGACGTGTCCGCCAGGTGTCCAGCCAGGTCAGCGACACCTGGCGGACACGTGGATTTACTTTTTTTTCTCCATTTTTTTTTTATTTTTAATTTTTTTTTTAATTGAACCATATAAAAAAATACAAATAAAATTAAAAAAAAATTAAAAAAAATTAAAAAAAATGAAAAAAAAATTAAAAACACGTGTCCGCCAGGTCACGCTGACCTGGCGGACACGTTACCTCCGGCGAGCCACGCAGGCGTCTCCGGCGCCGGAGGACTAAAACAACGAAATTTTTTTATTTATGGGACTAGTTTGCGACAGGCTTCACTTACGGGACTAAAATAATAAGGGGGTCCAGTTAAGGGACTAAAAATAGTTTACCCTATTTTTTAATAAGTACATATTTACAAATAAAAATATTGGACGAATAAAGTGTTTTGTGCTTACTTTAAATTAATATAAAAAATTCACATAATAAATAAATTTTGCATAAAATAATTTCACCCAATATAAAACACGCAATCAAAATCTTTGAACAATCATTTAATCTTATTTTTGGAGATTGAAAATTGAATGTTTTAATTTTTTTTGAAATCAGAGAATTTTTATTTATTTATTTTTTTACCTATTATAAAAACACAATATTAAAACTCTAAATTTTCAATCTTCGAATTTAAGACTAACAATTATCTGATTTCTAAAAAACAATCGAAAAAAAAAAAAGAAATCACAAAATTGAGAAAGTAGAAATTGGGGTGTCTCATTCATCATTTAATTTGGAATCACACAAGATTAAATTAAAATCTTAGTGTTCTTTTGTGATTTTACCAAAGATTTTTATTATTCAATTTTTTTTTTCTCCAAAAATATCATATCAAATAATTTTTTATTTTTTATTATTTATATTATACTATAAATTTATTTTACATTCAAAACATCGCATCAACCTCTATTTATATCATATCGAATAACTATTCAAATTTTAATTTTTTACTAGAATTCAAACTCAAAAATTAAAACCCATGAACAAACACACCAGAAGGGTCTATTTGGTTAGAGGGTTTAGAAGGGGACTCCAATTTTGGGAATTTGGAGGAGAGAGATTTTATTAAAGATTTATTTTATTTAATTATCTATTATACCATTTAAATATTTTATTAAAAATTTGATAACATCTTCAAAATTTTAATATTTATTTATTTTATTTTCAATTATGTCAAATAAATGTTAACATATATATTGTACATAGATTTAAATTATATTATATATTTTGAAATATTTTTAATTAAATATTTTAATCAAGTTTAATTATAATATTTTTTAACAAATCATATCAATTAATATATAATTATATCTATAATAATAAGGTTATTTTAATAAAAGATTTTAAAAATAATTTAGTTTTGAATAAATATTATTTTTTTAAAAATAAACAATTTATTATTTTTCAAAAATAATTTTAATACAAGCATAATATTCACTCAACGATCTCGATTTAAATCTCAATACAATCTTGCATTAAAGACATAAGCAAAATGATTTAAAAAATTATTTTATCATATTTGACAAATACATTTTGTATCACATTTTATGAATAAGTTATCGAATTTTATTAAATACTTTTATTTTTTTATTTATACTAGGGGCAAAATAGTAATTTCTTTGTTTTCCCTCTCCTCCCCTGCTTAACTAAACACAGAAATATTATTTTTTCTCTCTTTGCCTTCCTTTTCTTCCGTACGAACCAAACACACTATTACAAATGTCAGTTTGCACATGAAGAAGAAGACTTGCGCAAGGCCAATATATAGATGAATCGGTGCTCGAAAAAAGAAAAAAAGTCTACCCAATATTGAAATGTTAGACTATGTACAATGGATAATTTAGCTTTGGGTGAATTTTATAATCTTCTTTTTGTGGTACAATTTACCTATTTTTTAAGACTTCGCGTCATAAATTTTTTTATCAAAAATTTGTATGTTTTTTTTGATGGATTTGAAAAAAATTTAATTTGTGTTTGATATTAAAATAATATTATATGATGAGATGTTTTGTGGAAAAAGAAAATGTATTTTTTTTCGAATTTTAGTGTAAAAGAAACAAACAAATTTCTCTAATTGACATCAATATATTTATTATTTTATAGAATATTGTAAAAATTATAAATAAATATATTTCTTTTTTTAAAAAAAATTATACTATAACATTCTATATTTAATAAAATGGTTTATAATGTAAAAATGTAATATCTAATTGAAAATAATTTGTAAATATAATTGAGTTATTTTTCATATTATAAATATTATTATAAATTTAAAATTAAATATATTCATTTGTCCAAATTTATATTCATTTTTTTTTTTTTTTTTTTCTGTAGATATCTTTTTGAACATACTCAAATATTTTGAGAACCCAACAATGCTTTCATCGAAATACTCCAATTGACATAACTTTCTTTGGAGATTTTCTAAAATTTAAAATTTGAAAAACAAGAATGCTACAAAATATATGTATATATACACACGTTTATTAAAAAAAATAAAAAAAAAAGAAAAGAAAGGGCCCAATGTAAAATGCGAAAAGCCCATTTTAGAAGCCCGGTGAAACATCGGAAGAATCATACTTTGAGAGTTTGTTTGGTTCAAATGAAGGTAAGGGAATGTGAGATTTTAACGAAGGGCGGGGGAAAATAGCATTTTTGTATTTGATTAAACAAGGAAATGAAAAATTTTATTAATTTATTAATAAAATATCAATTTTGATATAAGAATGACATTGTTTATTTTAAAATAAGTATATATACTTATATAATGTAAATAAAATATAAATAAGAATAAAATTACATATAAGAAAATTAAATCCATTAATAACAAAATAATCATTCTAATATAAATTTTATTTATTTAGAATAAATTACAAGATAAATATCATTTATATTGTTAATAAATATAATAGATATGAATTTATTTTATTAATTAAAACCTAACTCTTAATAGTTTAATTAAATGATTAGAATAAAATTAATTTTATTTTACTTTATTTATATAAAATGTTGTTTTATAATTTAATTACATTGTAAAATTTAAAAATATTATAACTAATTATTAATTATAAAATAACCGTATGATATAATTCTTATATAATTAAATGCAAATAAATTACTCCTTTCGATGATATAATAGTTTATTGGCACGAGTTTTTAAGTGAATAGTATTAAATATAATAATTTAGAAATTAGATGATATTATTGAGAGAAATATATATTTTATTATTTTATTTGGATGATGTGAGAGGATAAAGTGTCATGGACATTAAGTACTTATTTTAGAAATATTGTCAGAGGCATGAAAAAAAAAAAATGTTCCCTAGTGGGGGAAACAACATAAATTTATTATATTTTTACTTTTCTTCTTCCTTGTGAGTTACTGAGTTACCTCTACACCTTTCTTGTATACTTTCTAATTTTCTTGTTCTTGATCCCATTTTTTTTTCAGAAATAATATTTCTACATTGTAGTTTTCTACTTAAAAGGGAATTATGGCGTCTGGAATGCAGAGAAAGCGTGGCAGAGACGACGACGACGATGATAATAGACCCACTGATAATCGCAGTTCCAAGAAATCAAAGCAAGGTCTGGTTTGCTCTGCTCTAAACGATTTTTGTCTTCTGTTCATTTAATTTCTTGATAATTTAAAAATGATCGATGAACACAATTAATTAATTTTCTTGAACAGAAATGGAGCCCTCTACTTCTGGCAGAGGAATCAGTCCAAAGCCATGCAACAGGTTCTACAGGTTCTAATCTTCACCTCTCCAAGAAATTTTGTTACCCAAACTTCAATAAAATGAAATAAATTACAACCCACGGCCCGTAATTTCGACATAAAACGATCATTTATGATTGCATCGATCGCAGCACTAGCGGGTGTCGTTTCGAAGATCGTTGCAACTTTTCGCATAATGTTCGCGGAGGCCTCGAGAGCGCCGCAGAAATTCTCGGCTACAACCCTGCCAAAGTAGATGAGAAATTGAAGTTAAGTGCCACAACATCCGTGTCTAGAGTCACTGCTACGATCCTAATCGACGATTTTCTAGTGGGCAGAGTCATGGGATATTGCGGTTGTCACTCCATGGAAATTTACGAGAGGACCGGCGTCATTGTCGATGCAATAAATCATGAAACGGATCCCGCCAAACGATACATTCAGCTCGCGGGCTCGTCCGATCATAGCATTGGTGAGGCTAAACGTATGGTCCACCGACTAATGGCAACTGCCTCGGTACAAAACATACACTTGCGACGACTTTAACAAATCGCGATGAAACGGGTGTTTATTTCTTTGCACATGATAGAACAGAGTTGCGCTGTACCAATGTGTAGAGTATTTTTTTTCTTTTTCTTTGAAATGTTCGTGTTAACGTGGTGTGTACTTTTTGTTACTGATTTTTTAGATGGCTGAGAAAGTATTAAACTTGGGTAATCGGGTTTTTTAGCTATCTAGGTTGGATTAGGCCCTTTAGCAGTGGTGGAACCAGCCTCTGAATTTTGAAGGATTGACTCTCTATATATAATAGGAATAAAGTAGAAATGACTAGAATGACTTTATTAGTATTGTGTCATACAAAGGTAATAGTATTTGCGTAATGTATTGAAAGTTGTAAGGGTATTTATAATATTAGGTAGATAGTACAGTTACTTTAAAAAGAAAAAAAATAGATACTTTGTCATAGCACAGACAAAAATAGAAAAATAAATACTTTGTTATGGGACGGAGGGAGGGAGTACTACAATTTGATTTTACAAAACAATGCTGCGAGAGCCAGCCATGCTCGGAGTTTTTTAATTTATTATTCAAATATTCTCTTGTTAACTTTTAGTCCTAGTTCTCGGAATGGAACATTTCGGACGAGTTGAGCCGGAAAAAGAAGACTTGTAAAATTCTCAGCAAAAATGAATTATGCATTGTGTGGGAATTGGATCCTCAGTCTAAAATCTTACCCGATTTACCCAATCCCACACACAAAATGTATAGATGTATTTCATAGATACCGGGTAATATTTACCCCATTTTAGACCGATAATCTCGTTACATAGTTCTAATTTGTCAATATTGAGTAGACTCTTGAGCACCGACTCCTCTGTACATGGTTCTTGTGCAAGTCTTTTTCTCCGTGCGCAAACCAGCACTTGTCTCCTAAGAGGCAATGGCCTCTGAAAAAGTTCTTGCAAAGCTTTGTTTTGATCCTGCTGGCCATGGGGACGCGGCGATTCGCCATATCATAACGGATCATATCGGCAGCCACACTAATCCCATCATACGTACCCGTGAGCTCAATGTATTGTAGTTTTGGATCCGTTTCGTGATCTATTACAGCGAGCTTGACCCCGGTCTCATAGTAAATTTGTTGGGAGTAGACGCCGTCTTTCCCAATGACTCTATCGGGCAGGGAAGCATACATGGGGATCTTAGCAGTGGAAGTGGAAGAGACTTGCAACATGGCTGCCTCTCGCGGCATTGGCATTGCTTGAGTAAGAAAAAGCTACCTTGCTTTGATTTCTTAGAACTGCGCCTGTTATCATCATCGTCTTCTTTGTGACGCCTTTTGTTGCTTCCAGACGCCATTCCCTTTCAAGTAGAAAATAACAATGTAGAGATATTATTCCCAAAAAATCAAGAACAAGAAAATGAGAGATTACAGAAGAAAGGTAACTCAGTAACTAACAATGAAGAAGCTCACAAGAAGGAAACTTAAAAACTAGAGCGAACGACGGATTCTGATTCGTACGGAATCATAATCAGAATATCAACTTTGTAATGTTTAATGGGCTTTCCGCGATGTTCATTTGGGCCTTTAATCAGAATAAATGAAAAAAGAGAATAAATATTTTTTCAGAAAAACTAGAGTCCAAGTAAAAGAAACATTATTTTGATGATTATGAATCCGTACGAATGGGAACCCGTCATTCTCTCTCTAGATTTTGACATTTCTCATTGTGGGCTTGGCTTCTCATTTTCTTGTTCTTGATTCTATTCTTTTTTTTGGGAATAATATTTCTACATTGTAGTTTTCTACATAAAAGGGAATTATGGCATCTGGAATGCAAAGAAAGAGTGGCAGAGACGACGACGACGACGATGATGATAGCAGACCCGCTGATAATCGCAGTTCCAAGAAATCAAAGCAAGGTCTGGTTTGGTCTCTTCCCATTTTCACCTTCCAAACTATTTCTGTGCATGTTTATTTGGTCGTATAATTTGTTCTTTCTTGAAGAACACTATTAATTTAATTAATTGATTAATTTTCTGCAACGTTAATATTTCAGAAATGGATCCGTCCTCTACTTCTGCTATAGGAAGCAATATTCCAGAGCAGCCATACACAAACTTCTTCAGGTTCTAATTTTTCCCTCTCTAAATGTATTGTTTAATAGTAGAATATATCATGATAATTGCATAGTAAAAAAGTATATATATATATAAAATGACACAAAATGCAATCGAAACGATCATTTATAACCCGCGGCACGCTTGCATTGATCGCAGCCCTCCCGGTTTTAGCTACGGAGATAGCTCCGCCAATCGGAATTTCAAGACTCAGTTATGCAAAAAATTCAGCAAACCCGGCGGGTGCAAGTACGGGGACAGATGCAAGTTTGCTCACGGACTACGTGAGTTACATGAGTTACAATTACAATACAATACTCTAGTCCCGGGACTGCCAATGCCCGAAGCCCCTGCTACTGTTAAGATCCCTATCGATGCTACCTTAGCCAGCCGAGTCATCGGAGAAGGCGGGTCCCACGCCAAGGAAATTTACAATAGGACCGGGGTCAAGGTCTCGATAATAAATCACGAAACCGATCCTAAACAACGATATGTTCAGCTCAAAGGGGATAACGCCGAAGAGACTAGAGAAATGCTCTGCGAAAAAATAGCTAGTCTCACAACAAAGTTAAAAACAAAACTTTGCAACAATTTTTTGAACGGTTCTTGCACCTTTGGGGACAAGTGCTGTTTTGCACACGGAGAACATGACTTGCGACACTACAATGTATAGACATTTTTTTTCATTTTTTCGTGTTTCTTGAAATATCCTTATCTTCTTGTACAATAAGTGCAAAATTTCTGAGCTCTTAGGGCATTAGCAACTCACTTCTCTCCTCCACATCATTGCCAGATAAACTTTTTTAAAAAAATTAAAAAATTTCTTGGACATCTATGCAGATATGCTCAAGAGATGTTCAATACATTATTTTTTTATTTTTTTTTACTATTATAAAATTTATGATATTATATGTATATATATTGATATATATTTTAAAACTTTTAATTTTAAAAACAAATAATTTTGATATAAATATAAATATATTTTTTTTTGTTGAGTAAGAGGAAAGAGAGTATGAGGCGAAGGAAAAAGAGTATGAGGTAGAAGAAAGAGAGTATAAAATAATATTGAAAAGATACTTTGATGGATATCTTTGTTGCAAGTGGCCTTAGGCCCTGCACCTCGGTCTCAAGCCAGTTATTATAATGAGTTTAAATGGTAAAAAGTTAAATAATTAAAAAAAAAAAAATACTATCAGAACTACAAGGTAAGATATTAAATGTCAAGTAAGAGATGACCAAATAGTGCCAGAGTTAGAAAAAAATTATCCAAAATACACTAGAAGAGAAACTATTCTCGATTTTCAAATTTAATAAAATGTAAAACATTAAAATTTCAAAGTGCAATAGTCAATCACATTCAAAATAAAAAGCATTTAAAATTATCAAGAAAAAAATAATGACCAAATAAATAAAAAAAGGAAATAGTATCAAAGTTTAAAATTGATATGCAATTTGTTTTGATTTCTTAGAACTACGACTATTAGTGGGGCTACTATCACTTTTTCTTACTTTCAAACGTCATTCCTTTTAACGTAGAAAACAACTGGAGGAATGTCATTGAAAAAATAAAATTTAAGAACAGAAAATGAGAAACTATACAAAAAGGTTAAATAAGAAACTATCAAATGTTCCGGAAGAGCTCGTGGCCAACAAAATGAGTCAAAATCCGGAAGCTCAATAGAATGGCACAGAACGTGTATGAGAAAACAAGTCACACTAGACAAATTTTATATGACATAACACTATTTTTACTTCTCTCTAAATTATCAAGGGTTTGTTCTCGAGACTGTTCTAGTATCTTCTATTAGTATCAGAGCAATTGCTGACTACACAAAAGATATTCGAGGAATAACAAAGCAATGACACAAGAAAGAAGCTCACAGGGAGAAAAGTGAAAATCTAAGAGAGAGACAGAGTTATGTATATATATATATGCATAACTTTATAAATAGTGTTTAAATAATATTTATAATATAAACAAAGCTCGTATTGTAAATAGTCTATTTGTTACCGATTCCCCAATGAATTCGTGAAGTAGAAAAGCCTCAATAGTTGCTGTTCTCAGTTGACTCTCATTTGCAGATAAATAAAAAAATGTGTATTCCTGATAATTTAAGTCGGTCACTTAATATGGTATCAAAGCCTTATGTCTTAAGTTCGAATCTTATCATCCTCCATTTTTGTCGTTCATGGGCACTGTAGATTAGGGCTGGCAAACGGATCAGGTCGGGTCGAGTTCAGGTTTGGATCAGCTTAAACGGGTTACAAAACTCTTCACCTGAACCTGACCCATTTAATTAAATGGGTTGATATTTGCCAACTTAACCTGACCTTTTATTAATCTGGTCAACATGAATCTGACTCGTATAATCCGTTTAAATCTAAAATATTTAAATTTTAATTTAAAATTATAATTTATATTAACAAAAATTTTAAATGCATAGTATATATACATATTAAAGCAAAAAATTATTTATTCATAAACCGATAGTCAAGAATTGATTTAACAAACACTAGTACACAACACAATCCTTTATTTTTTATTATTTATTTTTATAAAATTGGCCATAAATATTGAATTGTATTGATAAAATTTAAAAAATATATTTAAATTTAAAATAATATTAATTAAAAAAGTTAGACGGGTTATTTTCAGGTCGAAAATGTAGATCTTAACCTGACCCATTTAATTAAATGGGTTAAACGGGTTTGACCAAATTATTAATTGGGTCAAAAATCTCAACCCAAACCCAATTACTTCAGGTCAAATTCGGGTCGGATTATCGGATCGGATTAATTTTTGCCAGGCCTACTTTAGATGTCGAAAGCAGACATGCTTGAAGCACAAAATTAGGTTGATTATGAACTTATGCAAATTTGTTGTTGTGGCATATTTTTTGGCTTGAGATTATTTAAGACACAAAATAACGGCCGAGTCATGATTTTTAATGTGTACTATTGTTCTCTTCCACTTCCACCGCTAAGATCCCCATGTATGCTTCCCTGCTCGATAGAGTCATTGGGAAAGATGGCGTCTACTCAGAACAAATTTACTATAAGACCGGGGTCAAGCTCGCTGTAATAGATCACCAAACGGATCCAAAACTACAATACATTGAGCTCACGGGTACGTATGATGGGATTAGTTTGGCTGCCAATATGATCCGTTATGATATGGCGAATCGTCGCGTCCCCATGGCCAGCAGGATCAAAACAAAGCTTTGCAAGAAATTTTTAAGAGGCCATTGCCTCTACGGAGACAAGTGCTGGTTTGCGCACGGAGAAAAAGACTTGCGCAAGAACCATGTATAGAGGAGTCGGTGCTCAAGAGTCTACTCAATATTGACAAATTAGAACTATGTAACGAGATTATCGGTCTAAAATGGGGTAAATATTACCCGGTATCTATGAAATACATCTATACATTTTGTGTGTGGGATTGGGTAAATCGGGTAAGATTTTAGACTGAGGATCCAATTCCCACACAATGCATAATTCATTTTTGCTGAGAATTTTACAAGTCTTCTTTTTCCGGCTCAACTCGTCCGAAATGTTCCATTCCGAGAACTAGGACTAAAAGTTAACAAGAGAATATTTGAATAATAAATTAAAAAACTCCGAGCATGGCTGGCTCTCGCAGCATTGTTTTGTAAAATCAAATTGTAGTACTCCCTCCCTCCATCCTATAACAAAGTATTTATTTTTCTATTTTTGTCTGTGGCATGACAAAGTATCTATTTTTTTTCTTTTTAAAGTAACTGTACTATCTTCCTAATATTATAAATACCCTTACAACTTTATACTATTACCTTTATATGACACAATACTAATAAAGTCATTTTAGTCATTTCTACTTTATTCCAACTATAACACAAAATAATAATGTCAAATCAGTAAAAATATATAGAGAGTCAATCCTTCAAAATTCAGAGGCTGGTTCCACCTCTGCTACAGGGCCTAGTCCAACCTAGATGGCTAAAAAACCCGATTACCCAAGTTTAATACTTTCTCAGCCATCTAAAAAATCAGTAACAAAAAGTACACACCACGTTAACACGAACATTTCAAAGAAAAAGAAAAAAAATACTCTACACATTGGTATAGCGCAACTCTGTTCTATCATGTGCAAAAAAA